ACCATATTAAACCACCCAAAGAAAGGCAGCTACCCTTAAACTAACCTATCACAGCAAGAGAACCAAGATAAAAAATTGCCATGTCCAAAAGAAGAGCATCCACATAGTATACACTCAATAATTATATCCATGAAACATGATACCAAAAGATAAATGATAGGTCCCTAAATGAACTACAATCTATTTAAAAAAAAAAGGGCCAATAAAAGGTACCTGAAATAAAATGTAAAGTCTAATATGGTGCAAACCATCCAAGCAACCAAAATAAGTCATGGACCATTAATAGTATCAAGAATACAATAAGGCAAATCATAATGCAAGAAATAATACACAGAAAGTAAAGATTGTATAATACCATCATCTACGGGGCAACGTGCATGCCTATCCCCCAGAATAGGCATAACTTCCCCAACTCCATGGCATCAGGTCACATTAGAATATCATATTTACGGTATATACAATGAATATACATAGATCTTGTCACCAATAGACGTGTACCATAAATCTAAATCGCATTCAATGTCATTATGGTGCACATGTTGGGCCTGAAGGTTGATAGTGTAAACAACACTCTAACGTTGGAAATGACTTCATAATGAGTACCCGGGATAGTAGCACAATCTCAAAACGGTAGGCCCCAAAAGCCCCCCTCAGCTTGATAAAATTATATCCAACTGCAAACCAACAGGCACCTCTAGTGCAACCAAAGAGATCATGACTTAACCCACTGGGTAGGCACCAATCTCCCGCTACAGTATGTATCAGGTTGAATGTAAATTCCATACAGAATTAGCTCATAAGAAAGCAGACAATGAATATTTCTTGTTCAATCCATCAGGATGAACAGTTTGCATTGTTCTAATCCAGTATAGCTCCCGCTGTAGGAGCATCTTTTTCCGATCACCACCCTTTCTGGGTAGGGGGACATGGTCAATGGCCATCAGTTTCATGGACGGAAGAGTATGTCCCAATACGAGAAAATGTTTCGGATTTTGTTATCCCTGTATGCCGCCCTAATACTCGACCTATGGTTACGAATCCGTTCTGTCAACGGTAAATCAGTCTTTCCAATATAGGTAACCATTGACCATTGATCATCTACCTATGTGTATTAAAGATACTCCGAGCTTTATCAAGCAACTATCTGAGACAGTGCTACCCTCTGAACCAGTAGTCCTAGTGACTTGTGATGTAAAAAGCCTATCTACTGTAATACCTCACCAGGATGGAAACAGGCAATGAGATCCACCTACTGTTCTGACCCTTCGATAGAGAAGCTGCTGTGGCCGCCCCCATACGGAATCAATGGCCAGAGAACAAATGCGGCTTGTGTCCCAGTCTGAGTATCAATGTGTGTATGTATAGGATGAACTGTTTGGTGGTTATGGATTTCCCTTGAAGGTCCAATAGTGGGGATTCAGGGTTAGTTGTAAGCTGTGCATTGACTAAGTTATCCAATATGTGAGTTGGACACGACTTGGTAGAGGTAGGGTAATATTAATCTCTACTGGTGGGCCTGTCTGGCTCATTTTGGTATGAGAGATTGACAGAATATAGTGGTAGTTTACTTTAGTTAGGTGTTTCCTCTTAAGGCATGACTTAAAGTTGGATGCCTTCTGTAATGGATCACCTGGCACCCCGACTGGGTACCTCCGTTAAAGGATGCTCCTAGCACTTCCTGAGGACTCCAAGCACTGCAGCAGACACCAAAACCAACGAACCGAAGAAGCGTATACCTTCTCTCAAGCATATGAATGCTATAAACAGCTGAATAGGCAAAAAACCATACGGATGGGTTTAGACTCCTAGCAGTCAAACTGGAACAGCATACAATAAATCCTTCCCCAATAATGAGACGACACTTCACTTTGAGGATTAAGCAGGAACTGACTGGACTGGCACATACAGCCTCTTTTATTCCCAATCCACAAACTTAGTACTGCCCACAGGGTTTTACATAACAACCAATAAAACATGTACATTACAGAAAGACACTCCCACACAAAATCCTCCCCTCTGGCTGTGATATGATTACTGAACACAATGGTTAATCTAATTATCACAGCCAGAGAAATACAGTTTTTCCACATTATTCATAACTTGAAAAGTATGCATCACATTCACATAAAACTTACATTTTCAGAATTCGCATACTCCAAATACAAACATAAATCATACATATTGGTCCAGTGGTTCAAAAGTTAAGGAAAAGTCCTATTTGACCAAATGCAGCATGGCTTTTCTGTCCAAAACCAGTTCCACGGAGTCTTCTATCCTGGAGATAATTGGGGAAGTAATCCAATTATCTCCAGGACAGAGGCAAAACTCCATTAGCCAAATGGCAGCAAAAGAGAATAAAACACATAAAAACATATAACTGTGCAGCCATTGCACAAAACAGGTACATTCATCATATCCCCAGATAGCTCAGATCTGAGCGCACATTACTGAATGGCGCTCAGAGCACACACATACAGTTCAATTGCCATGGAGCCAAAGTCTTTCCCATAGTCTTTCATTATACAAATGGGCTCCATGGCATAGCTATCTGGGTAACACTGCTCACATAGGGAAAGTATGAAAGACCCAGCTTTTGGGTCTTTGCAGGGGAAAATCCATCCTTTCAACATGGGGCCATAGTCACAGGGCAGGAGGCCAGCAATCAGTCTTCTCCAATGCCCAGTGGCGAGGCTGGTTCCGCCACACCTTCTCCACAGAAAATTCCTTGGGTCTCAGGAAACCGTAAAAGGCTATATAGGCTGCAGATTTGATTATCCGATTATTGCTACTTTCAAAAGGGTTCTCGTCTGGTAGATTGGAGATCTTGCTAAATAGGTTGCTATCTTTTGGAAGTCTTTTGATGGGATCATGAACTGTTAGCTTCTGAACGCCTCTTAGGACACTGTTGATTGGGTAATAGGCTAGGAATGGTGCTAGGTTTGGATTAATAGTTAACATGTAGTGTTGCATGCCTGTTAAGTAAAGTTTGATTGTATTGTATGCTAATTTTAGAGAGATGTGGCAAAAAGGTTTCTATGGAAAAAGCATTACATTGAAATCACGTACACATTTTTGAACTGATCATATTCTCTGGCATAGGCTTTCTTAGTATTGAGCCTGTGCGAGAGACCCAGCCTGTGCGAGAGACCCAGCCTGTGCGAGAGACCCACTGTGACTCAACAGGGTATTCAGAGCATTATTAGGTCTGGGAACTGTGGAAGTTCTTTGGGTTGTAGGTTTGCTGTCGGATGGACTCCAAAAATTCCTGCAAATTAGAACGTGTGAGTGCGTCAGCTGCGTTTTTTTGAACGCCTGGAACGTGAATACAACTTAGACAAAACCGCAGATTTGCCGCTAACCAGGTAAGTTTCTTTACTAAGTTCATGATAGTAAGTGACTGAGAGCGGCCTTTATTAATGATGTTACAAGTTGCTAGACTGTCTGAAAAACATCTAATTGATTTACCTTTCCACTCTTTACCCCAAATGTGTGCTGCAGCTACAATTGGGAAAATTTCAAACAGTGCTGAGGTTGTGTACCCAGTCATTGCCAAAAATTGCTTCATAACCTATGGCCTGATGCATCATGTCTCCATAAATATAGCAACATCTTACTGTATTCAAGCCTGAAGCTGTAAATCTGCATGCTGTTTGCCTCAGAAAAACAAGCAGTCTGCTGACATCATCAGAAGTGGTAGCCTGATCCAATCACAGTACTTCCCCATATGACTGACTGAGAATGACAGAGGCAGATCATGGGCAGAGCCAGCATGATTCAAACACAGCCCTGGCCAATCAGCATTGAATCAATGAATCTCTATGAGGAAAGTTCAGTGTCTGCATGTAGAGGGAGGAGACACTGAATGTTTGGATGCAGGAAGGATCTCTAACAACTATCTGAGGAGTGGCCAGTGAAGTTATCAGTTATCACTGTAATGTAAACACTGCATTTTCTCTTACAGCAAAAAGTCTGAAGGGAATGATTCTAATCACCAGAACAAATTCAATAAGCTGTAGTTGTTCTGGTGACTATAGTGTCTGGTGTCCTTTTAATTTACGATATCATAACCATATGTTCCTCTAAATGTGCCGTACAAAAAAAAAAAAAAAAAATATATATATATATATATATATATATATATATATGTATATGTGTGTGTATATATATATATGTGTATATATATATATGTGTATATATATATGTATGTATATATATATATATATATATATATATATATATATATATGTGTATATATATATATATATATGTATGTGTGTATATATATATATATATATATATATATATATATATGTGTGTGTGTGTGTGTATATATGTATGTATATGTAATATATAAAATGTATACAAACATACTGTTAAATATAAATAAAATATTGTACAGGCTATTAGGTGGTGTGAAGTAAATTTTAGTTTTGGCTGGTCGCTTAAATACTGACTTTTTTTGCTATCTAAAATGTTAAGACTCATAAATTTTATTGCTTGTATAAAATACTTTGTTCAAAAATGTGCATCTGTTTCTCAATTTCTTATCAGATGTTAAGCACATCCAAAGCAGAGTATAAGCCAGCCTTGAAGTTGTCTTTGAAATGTAAAATAATTGCATTGGTGCTTTTCATAATGCAGGTGTCAGAGTGTGGCTGGCAAGGAAGGCGTGCTCCCAATCTAATGAATTTGTACAGCATCTGCAAAAATATGCACATTTGGTTGAAACAAGATCAGAAAAATGTCTGCATTGTACATTGCCTGGTAAGTTATATTCACAAATGTTTGTATAATTTAAATTGTGATAAATCTAAAGAATGTTGAATTTATTGTAAAATGAGTTACACATAAGCAATAACTTATTTGGTAAGAAGAATTTTTAAGTGTACCATGTTTTCTCATTTTTCTCTTTAGAAATTTTGGTTTAACCAAATTCTTTAAAAATATAGTTACATAGTAGTTACGTAGCTAAAAAGAGACTTGCATCCATCAAGTTGAGCTTTCCTCACGTTTGCTTATTGCTGTTGATCCTAAAGAATGCAAAAAACTAGGGAAAAAAAATCCTCCTTGACCCCAGAATGACAGTCAGATCTATCTTTGGATCAAGCAGCTATTACCCTACATTGAAAAATTATATCCTTGAATTTTCTGTTTTTGCAAGTATGCATCTAATTGCTGTTTGAACATCTGTATGGATTCTGATAAAACCACTTCTTCAGGCAGAGAATTCCACATCCTTATTGTTCTTACAGTAAAAAAAACACACAATTTTCCTTTGCCTTAGATGAAATCTTCTTTCTTCCAGTCTAAACACATGACCGTGTGTCCTATGTAAAGTCTGATTTGTGAATAGATTTCCACTCAATGGTTTGCATTGGCCCCGAATAGATTTGTAAACTGTTATCATATCCCCTCTCAGGCTATGTTTTTCTAAACCAAAAAGTTTTTAAATTTGTTAACCTTTCTTTATAGCTGATATGTTCCATTCCTTTTATTAATTTTGTAGCCCGCCTCTGCACTTTTTCTAATGCCATAATATCATCCTTTAGAACAGGTGCCCAAAATTGCACAGCATATTCAATATGTGGTCTTACCAGTGATTTATAAAAAGGAGAAAATTATATGCTCATCCTGAGAATGAATGCCCTTTTTCATGCATGACAATACCTTACTGGCCTTAGCCACTGCTGTTTGACATTGCACATTATTGCATAGTTTGTCTATATCAATTCCCAAGTCCTTCTTGTGTGTTGTTATCCCTAATTCGCTTCCATTAACCCCTTAACGCCGTTAAGGCATTCTATGCCGTCCCGCATTAAAAGGGCTTTAAAGCTGTTGCGGCGGCATAGAACGCCGTAACGGCTTGCAGCCCCTGGAGGTCCTGTGGACTTACCTCCACCGCGATCCTCTTCTGGAGGGCTGCCTGATAGCCCAGGCAGCCCTCCCCCAGCAAATGAGGCCCCCGGGGGCTATGTGATTGCTCTCAAAGAGAGTTTAAATGCTTGTATCAGTTTGTTTCATTATGTATTGAATAAATGTATTCGTCTACCGAAACGGGGCCACCCACCCTGGGTAGCAATCCGCATTAGAACGTAGAGAAAACTGCAACTTAATTGCTCCTAGGTGGCCGCCATTCGGCATACGAACACGTGACGAGAACAAAGGATGGCGGCCATCTTAAAACTCACGAATGCGGTCAGCGGGCGTACGCATGAATTGTCTGGAACTATTTTCGGCATGGCAAACATGCAAACGCCCGGTCCTCATGGAAGTCCTGGCTGAATACGTTCCCCTCCACGAATCAAACTGTCATTCGGTAGCTAGAACCTATCGAACGAGGGGAACAATCGCATGTAACCAGCTGCACCATATGAACGGTGGTTTTCGTGTAATTAGACGCGAACGGAGACCGGCTCTTGCTGCTGATTTCATGGAACTCTGAATCGGATACCTCCACATGGCGAGCCGGTCAATCTTCTACACGATGCGACACGGAAACTACCCAACAGAAAATTGTGAGATTTAAATATGTGACTACCAGTATTCCGGGCTACCCAGGGATGTTAATGTTATATTTGTATGTGTTCTAGAAAGTACTTTTCTGGGAATGTTGAAAATTGTAATGTTTCTGGCCAGCAGATAATTGAGTTTAGTATGTTGCTGAAACTCCATTTTCTAGCCTGGCCCAGAGGAGGAGTCTGTTACTGTTTAAATTGAATGCCTGTTGCTTTCAGTAAATCAATCTTGTTCCAGCATTAAGCTTTGGCTCATGTGTGGATTATTTGGCGATACCAGCGATATTTCTTCTTGTGGAGTATTGGGTGATTTTCTTTTATGGGAAAGAAGGGAATGCTTGACGGTGATACCATATACTACCGTCACAATATATATATATATATATATATATATATATATATATATATATATATATATATATATATATATTTACATAAAAGATTACATTAGTATATACATAGAATTTAAATACCTATAAATGCATTTATATTAAAATTCTACGTGTATATTTAAGTAATCTTTTAACGTAATTATGTGATTTGATTAATTAAAATTTGATTGACATGCCTGACAACACAGGGAGAAAGTGCAGAGAAATTTAATTTGCAAGCACTATATTTGACCCTTTAACTCTCAAAGACACCATAAAACCTGTACATAGGGGGTACTGTTTTACTCGGGAGACTTCGCTGAACTCAAATATTAGTGTTTCAAAATGATAAATTGTATTACAACGATGATAGTTGAAAGTAAAAGTGATGTTTTTTGCATTTTTAGAAACGAACGGCACTTTTATGTACTGTATTATTGTTGTAATATGTTTTACTGTTTTAAAACACTAATATTTGTGTTTAGTGAAGTCTCCCAAGAATAACAGTACCCCCCATGTACAGATTTTATGGTGTTTTGGAAAATTAGAGAGTCACATATAAGGCCTGCATTTCATTTTTTTGACATTGAAATTTGCCAGATTGGTTATGTTGCCTTTGAGAGCGTATGGAATGAGAATTACCCCATGATGGCATACCATTTGCAAAAGTAGACAACCCAAGGTATTGTAAGTGGGGTGTGTCCAGTCTTTCTTAGTAGCCACTTAGTCACAAACACTGGCCAAATATTCATTTTTTTGCTTTTTTCACACAAAAACAAATATGAACGCTAACTTTGGCCAGTGTTTGTGACTAAGTGGCTACTAAAAAAGACTAAACATACCCCACTTTCAATACCTTGGGTTGTCTACTTTTTCAAATGGTATGCCATTATGGGGGTAATTCACATTCCTGGGCTACCACACCGTCTCAAAGCTAACATTACTAATCTGACAAATTTCAATTTGAAAATGGAACGTTCTATATTTGACCTTGTAACTTTCCAAAACACCATTGTGACGGAACGCTGGCACTCCGACTGAGTACCTCCGCCAATCGATGCTCCTAGCGCTTGCCGAGGACTCCAAGCACTCCAACCGACACCATCAGCACTGCAGACCCCACTTCCAGCGATGCAACTGCGCCGGGGTCTCTGCTGTCTCCAACCACCCTGGACCCAAGGCCAGGATCCAGCTTCCAGTGGGTGAACCTCTCTTTCCCCAGAGAGCAGGAACAGGAACAAGCTCTTAGCAGAACTTAGTGATCATACCCTGGGGAGTATAGTGATTATAGCAATCCCCAGAGTGTATTTCTCCAATCCCCCAAACATGAGCCAAGGTTTAATGCTGGAACAAGACTGATTTACTGGCACACAGAACTCACAATTTATGCAACACAAAACTCCTCCTCTGGGCCAGGCCAGATAATTGAGTTTCTGCAATACACAAAGCTCAATTATCTGCTGGCCAGAAATAATATAGTTTCATAAAACACACAGGGACCCCAAAACATGCAATAACCCCATAAAAAGTATATCCTTGGAACCGGGGGATCTGGTTGAACCACATATCCAAAATTCACCCAGATCCGTTCAGTACTTTGGAAAATACAGTTTAATGCAGATTCTGCAGAACATATACAGGCTAAATGAAAAACAATCACTGTATAATGTGTCCCCTGCTGTATAGTCCAAAACCACTGCACGATGTCTCTGTGCACCAAATACTGGCGAGATGGCACCGTGTTGAAAAGTCCAAACAGTGTCTGTGAGTTAAAATGGCCGCCATCCATTGTTCTCACCATGTGCTTCTGATACAGGAAATGGTGGCCACCCAGTAACTCCACAGTATGTCCCCAGATGGTTCTTAAAGGGCCAGCAGCAGCACAACACAAATCCATTATGCCCAAATCATGTCTTTAAAGGGCAATACAAACCAGGGGCCATAGTCACAGGGCAAGAGGCGGGCAAGCAGTCCTCTCCAGGCACAAGTGGCGAAGGGCACTTCGTCATAACCATAAAACCTGTTAATGGGGGGGGCAGTAAAACCTAACAGTATTATGACATTAATAGCTAATTTTCTCACATTTTTTTAAATTTTATTCAAAATAAATAGTTTCATATATGAATAGTTAATGCTAAATTAAAGCCCTGTTTCTCCTGAACAAAATAATATATATAATAAGTGTGGGTGCACTTAATGTGACAGCAGTGAATTACGGTTGAACAGACATATAGCGCAAATTCCAGTTTTTGTTTACGTTTTGTTTTGATCAGAACGTGTACTATGGACTCTGTCCTGAGGGGGTTAATCCACAGATCCACAGCCAGCTATAAGGGGCCATGTGATCGTTCTTTGAGAGCGATCACATGGCCCCCGGGGCCCTCATTTGCCGGGGAGGGCTACCTGGGCTGTCAGGCCCTCCAGAAGAGGATTGCGGCGGAGGTGAGTAGATCTCATCTCCTGGGGCCTTAAGCCGTTACGGTGTTCTATGCCGCCGCAGCGGCTTTAAAGCCGTGACAGCATAGAACGCCGTAACGGCATTAAGGGGGTAAGGACTGAACCAAATGTACACGTGATCAAAACAAAACGTAAACAAAAACTTGAATTTGTGCTATATGTCTGTTCAGGCATAATTCGCCTCTCTCATATTATGTGCACCCACACTTATTATATATCATTTTATTCAGGGGAAACCGGGCTTTCATTTAACATCAAATATTTAGGTATAAAACATAATTTAATATGAATAAAATATAAAAAAAAATGGGAGAAAATAACAATTTAAAAAAACATTTAGTTCTACGTGACATTCTAACTGTGAATTTTACAATACTGTTTGCTTTTACTGCAATAAAATACACATATTTGTATTCAGCGCTGTCTCACGTGTAAAACAGTACTCTCTATGTACAGGTTTTTTTTGGGGGGTTGTGGGAAGTTACAGGGTCAAGTATAGCATGTTACAT